AATTCATTTTTAACGGAATACATGACTTAAAAGAAAATTGATAACTCAAAATTCTACCATTTGAAAAAAAGTTAATTATTCAAAATTGATATTTTCTAACTCATTTTTTATAACAAGGCTAAACATCAAAAAATAATTTTAATTTATTTTTCATGATAGAACCAAACATCAAAAAATAATCTATTTTTTCATAAGTCGTATTCCATAAATTTCACTTTTCGAAGAAAATCACAAAGAATATGACTAGAATTAAGATTTATCATAATTATTGTTCGCCTCAAACTAGATTTGTAGTTATAAATATGCTCAACTCGAGTTGAAAAATGAAAGGATAGTAAAACAAATAAGTATAAGATTTGATTTCAAACTTCCTCTCCCTTGATCCTTCGGGTAATGTAGTTGACACTACTTATGGGGATCAATCCGGGGTATTTGGATTGAATATAACGAGTTCGTTTGGCATCATATTTAGATTTAGATTTAGTTGAGTTATAATTCAAAAATTATTTTTTTTATATAATTATTATGAGACAAAAATGAGTTAAATAAATTTAAGTTTGAAAATATGTTTGGTAAAAATGACTTAAACTATTTTTTAAAATGTAATATAAATTAGAATCCAAAAGTTAAAAGTTATTTTTTTTCTTTTGATTAAATCAAAATTGTATTTTTAATAAAATATTCTTATGGCTTTTCTTTAAAGTAAAAGTTAAAAAACAACGTAAATCAATTTTCCAAAATCATACTAAATATAAATTCTATGATACCCACTTAAAGTTGTGGTTAAAATGCCTTTTATTGAAATAGAAAAAAAGACATGATTTTTGTGCGTTTAGAAAAGCGAAAACCACATATTTATTGACAAGCATTGCAAACCTCGTAATGTTCTTCGTTTACCGTAAAATTTTGGACAAACATTAAATATATCTTCAAGTTATTAAAACGGTATCAATTTTGCATCCAAAGTATTTTTTATATCAGATTTTACTCGTAAATAATTTTGTTTTTTTCAATTAAAACTTGTATTATAATCACTTACAAAAAAAAACCTTAAGTTCCCTATAAAATTATGTAGTTACTTATAACAAAAAAACAATTTGAAAAAAAAAAAAGACGGAGATCTTTAATTGAGAATTTTTAAAAGATCCGAGATATAATTGATATAAAAAATTATTTAGTGTCAAAATTGAAACTAATTATATATTTAGGGGGTATTTTTAAGTTTCTTTCTTGATCCTTTTTAAATTTCGTCCTATTTGAAATTTATGTGCTCTGTCTAATAATACAAGTTGAATCTTCTCGAAAACAATAAAATTAAATATTAAAAATACAATTTGAATAATTTGTTTATTTGTTTGTTTTAGGTTTTTGTGAGCTATCATATTAATTGCGAGGGAGAATATAATGTCATAATTGATTTTTTTTTCCTTTTTATATCTCAAATTCTAATGGTTTTTTTTTTTTTTTTTTTAAAAAAAGGAAAACCAGAGGCTCATGAATGATGAGTGCATAAAGGGGGTAGCTCTCCTCCTCCATCTCATTTCATTTTTGTTAGGATTTGAATCTAAAAACTTTTAATGCAAATCTTAAATTTTAACCACCGGATTGTTTGCTATATTTATTGTAATAAAAAATTCTCTGATAAACAAAATTCATTATCCTTTATTAGATGCAAACACTACTTTTTTTTATTATAAGTATTTTTATAATATTTTAATCAATAATGATATGAGAAGTGCAATAATAATAAAATAAAAAAAAAAAGTGATAGAAGTAATAACGTTGAAGAGGCAATGTTTGACTAATGATGGCAGAGGTTGCAGAATGGTAGCTGTGGGATAGGGAAGTGAGCGACCATAGTGGCGGAGTGGTGATGTCAACGGGGGAAGTGGTGATGATGGCGGCAAAAGGGAAGTTGTGGCAGCAGCGGCAGTAGGGTGGTGGCGTGGTTGTGGTGATGATGTTAACGTTTAATAATACTGTGAGCGAATTACGGTTTGTAAATTATTTTATGTTAATTAATTTTTTAAAAAATATTTTATGAAAATAAACAAATTTTTTTAAAAAAAATTTGTGTAAAATATTTTAGGCAAAAGAAACGCTTCACGGAATTAATTGGGTCAAGAAGGAATTTAGATGACCGGAAAAACCTAAAAGTTGATAGCTTTAGGCGATGAATCGAGACGGAAATGTGAACTAAATGCAAGGTGGGATTATTACTATGGCCCCATGATTTCATTTTTTTTAAAAAAAATAGAAATACAAGAAGAAGGCTAAATTTACTAGAGAAAACCTTAATTTGATTGTGTGTGTGGAGATTGAGATTTACGGATAAGTCTCCTATCACGGCGACGGTGTTAACCAAATTGAGTTTCACAAGCAACGTAACAGAATCAAACGGAGACATGTACATGACACGAGTCCTGCTCCAAGCTAGATCTTTTAAGAGCGATGTCCTCTGAAATTTCTGGTCTTCATATCTGCAAGAAGGGGAAGAAAAAAGTCTTTTTGCAAGATTAAATTTTCTTAAAAAAAAAAAAAAAAACGATCCAAATGATCCCTACATATTCATTTGTTTACCAGCCTAACAGACAAACAGAATCAATATTGCACCAACCTCATATTTACCAAATCAAATTATGATTGGACAGATGCAAATACATGTGAAATTGATTTTATCTATAAATATACACATTTGACATCATAAATTGATTTTATCTATAAGTATACACATTTGACATCACAAATTCTATAAAAAGCAGTTTTTTTTTTAAAATTAGGATATTTTTCTTATCAAAATATAATATTTTAAACTTATTTTTAGAGGAGGACAATTTGTTTTGTGGATTTTTATTATCCATGTCATCTTTGTTCTGAAATAATAAATATCCATCATCATGTTCATTCACTTTTCATATCCTACTACTCATGATTCTTAATATGATTCAATTCATCATTCAATATGAAAAATTGAAAATGTGATGCAATTAATTATTCATAGTCCCTTCCAATTCTCTCTTCAATTTTAAAACCTATAAATAGACTTGATTGTTTATTAGTTAATGTACAACGTTTGTTGCATGTTGTTTGAGTTTTTCACGGGGTTTGGCATCACTCGATTCGGCAACAGTTCAAACATGCAGAAAGGGTAAAATAGCACCAATAATAACAACATTCCCATCAAGTTAATAAGGAGATAGTTGTCAAGTTGGGTAGAAATGAAGAAAGAACATTCTCACAAAAATTGTTAAATAAATCCCAAGTCATAATATAGTGAGCAAGTTTGTTCGATAACTAAGGAAAAAAGCATCTCGTTATTTAATTAAATTAAATGGGATGAAAGATTATAGCTTTCGTGAAAGTAATTTATGAGAAATCAAAATAATTAGAATGCTCTTTTCCATGCATTCACCATATGGCATATATACACAGGTCTTATAAAGAAACAGCATTTACATAGTTCCTCAAATAACAAAAAGGGTTTGCTAATTGGTAAGATGTGCGAGATAAAGGTAGGTCAAGATTTGAATCATTTTAGGATGCAACATCTCCTGGGAAAACATGTCAAATAGGTATCAAATCCTACTAGAAATTATCTCAACGAAGCTATAAATTTACATAAATCTTTTGAAAAAAAAAAAACTCAAAAACATGCTAATCCACTAAAGATAAAAGAAACAAAAATGTAAATAGATGAATAAACAATTTCAGCAAACCCATTACTAGGATAGTTGCTTCTTGGATTGGCATAAGGCTACAATGAGTTCATTGACTTCACAGCCCCCACAACTTCTTATTTCTAACTACTCTATCACTCAAAAAAAAAAAAAAAAAAAAAAAACAACATATATTGAGAAAAATGCATAAGAAAGCAAAATTAAAACCTGTAGGCCAAAGACAGAAGTAGTGAGATCAAATCCCTTCCAAGCCATTGATAGATGACATCCATATAATCTGATTGAAAAAAAAGAAGAAGAAAAAACTTAGACATGAAACATAGAAGTCAGAAAGAGGCAAGATAGTGAAGCTTTTTTTTTTTTTTTTCAGAGCTCAAAATAAATAAAAAGAGAAGTGTGGACTATTAAAAATTAACAAGTGGGATGGATTTTTTCAGCCATATCGTATTTATTTGTGTATAAAAAGAAATTATTAAATTTTGAGGCGATTTTCTTGTTGCTTCAAAATTCTACCTCTGTAATTAATTTTTGGTGTAGTGATTCTATTATTTTCAAAGGTTTAAGTTATAAACATAAAAATCATAAAACTATTTGAAATATAGTCAAATTACAATTATTTTATACGATATCAATAAAAAGAATTTTATTATCCATTTACATTATACCGCATTAACTTTGTATTGTAAAACTAAAATATACACAAATCATTAAACAAATATTAGTATATTTTAAGAATAGTGACAATAATTTATATTTTATTTAATAAGTGCCCGTGAGGTATTAGATCAAGCTATACAAGGATTTCAAAAGTATCCTCAAGTATATATTTTAAATAATATTTTATATTCGTTAATCTAAATATGTTTGAGAAGTATTCGATACCTATCATAAAGCATTGAATTAAGTACCGTACGTCACCATCCAGTCCAAAATAACTACGTGAATATTTAAAATATCCATGTGTTTCTTGAAAAACTACGGCGCTACAAGGGACAGCTGCCTAGTCTCCCATGTGGCTATGAACATATTTTAACTTTTTCAAATTTCAGGAGCCACGAGACTCTCAGTTCCTGTCTGAGCCTAGATGATTTTTTAATTGCAAAGGCCAAGCTAAGTGTCTCTTTCTTTGATTGCTTATTGATTTCTTTCGATTTCTTATTTGAACAATAACAGTTGGGGTTGGCACAAGATACCAGGTAAGATGCAAGAGACGCGGATGATGTGAAGGCTTCCAGCCCATCTATAAATAGGGCAAGGCATCATGCAAAATCAGCAATCAACTACAGAGAGAAACGCATACATACATAGAGAGAAAGAGGAGACATGGCAACCAAAACTCCTAAGCTTGTGAAGCACACATTATTGACTCGGTTCAAAGACGAGATCACACGCGAACAAATCGACAAGTACATCAATGACTATGCCAATCTGGTGGATCTCATTCCAAGCATGAAAGATTTCTCTTGGTAATTCAAAAAAAAAAAAAAAAGGGTCTTTCTACCTTCTCTTTTAAATTCAGTAATTAGTAGTAACTTGTTGTTTTACTGCTTTAGAATGTTGAGATTAGTGAAATAACGCGCTCAATCAAAACTATTTTTTTTGAATTATCTTTTATATATGAGAAAACTATTAGCATCAATCTAGACTCGTTTAAGTAAATTTAGGTATGTATCATACTCACAAATAGTCTTCCTTTCTAATTCACGTTGTCTGCAATTCAAGCATTGTTCTAACACGTCATCTGTGTCAATTGGGTCTTTGAAAAAACATATTTCTAATGTTATTAACCCTTTCTTATTTTATGATGTTATAGGGGAACTGATTTGGGTATGGAGACTGAGGGCCTAAATCGAGGTTATACTCATGCCTTCGAATCTACATTTGAGAGTGTAGCAGGTTTGCAGGAGTATCTTGAATCTCCTGCTCTTAGTGCGTTTGCAGATGTTTTTCTACCTACATTGTCACAACGTCTTGTGATAGACTACTTTCTCTACTAAATTTCCTAGGGTAATAACTCCGGCAGGGCTATCTATTTGAATGGGAATAACTCATGTAATGTGCAATAAACGTTGTTGTTGAACCAATGAATGTTTCTGTCTTTCTTGTTTTTCTGCTTATTTTGAAAGGAGTGTTGCTATTCTTCAAAAAATAAAAATAAAAATAAAAATAAAAGCCACTGGGGCTAAGTTAATTTCTATCATGAGATATTGGGGTTTCAATATTGATCCCAGCTCACTTCCAGTTTATTGTTTTGAGTAAAATAAATACATGAATGTTGTTTCTTCCCTTTTTTCCATAATTAATTTCGGTTTTGGTAATTTTGTTTTCCACTTTATGTCTTTGTTTTAGTGCATTGACGCACTTTCATGACTGCCTATACGCTTCTCTGATGGCAAAATGTTATGAAAAAAGAAAAGAACAGAACCACATCAAGAACTTCAGACAAAACCAAGTACTAACCCTCACCAGAAAGCTAAAATGTAAAATCCCTCCATGAAATTCAGTACTTAAAAAAGAATCTCTCATTTTAAACAAGTGAACATTTTTAATTATTAGTTTCTGTTGTAAAATCCTTCAATTATTTGGCATGTCACTTGTTTCACTTTCACACGACTTCTGCCATTGGTGTGTGGACCGGAAGCGAAAGGAAGAAAAAGCAAAACAAAATACGTGGGAGTGCGTGATGTAAAATCAAGAACGGAACTAGTAGACAATTTTATATATAATAACCAGTAAAAGCAACCGGTCAAATCTAGAATTCAAAGGTCGAAAGCCGTATATAAAATGTGTAAAAAGTAAGAATAGAAAGAATAATCCTAATCTCAAAAGGCGTCCTAAGTGATAAAAGAGATTTGACTGTCTTAAACTTTAGTTGAGGTTGAATTCAAGATTGGTACATATATATATATTTTTTTAAAACTAGTAGACAATTTTATATATAATAACCAATAAAAACAATCGGTCAGATCTAGAATTCAAAGGCCGAAAGCCGTATATAAAACGTGTAAAAAATAAGGATAGAAAGAATAATCCTAATCTCAAAAGGCATCCTAAGTGATAAAAGAGATTTGACTCTCTTAAACTTTAGTTGAGGTTGAATTCAAGATTGGTATTTAATATATATATATTTCTCAATTCCATTGGTTAATTTACGTAGAAATACATTTTTAAAACAGTTTTTTTTTAAAAAAAATTGAGTCTCCATTGTGGCACAAGTTATTTCAAAATCATATCTCGTTCTTAACACACAAAAGTAAATAAATAAGTAAATAAAACAACATTCCTCCACCAGAATCAAACTCCTTTCTAACTAATTAACAAAAGAGGAATGATTGGTACAACGAATATTTCTAAATTAGAATCAAACTCCTTTCTAACTAGCTTAATAAATAAATAAATTAATGATTGGTGCAATGAATATTCGTATATTAGAGTAGAACTCCTTTCTAACTAATAAAAGAGCAATGACTGGTACGATGAATATTTTTAAAGGAATTGAACATGAACGCATGCACATATAAAATAAATGACTAAAAATTTTCATTAAATTACCATGATCGTCATTGTTTGTATTTATGTTGAATTTGTTAGATTTGTCTCTCCTCAAATTAGGAGGAATATGATCTATCCTGTTAAATAAGTCCATATCATTAATTTTAAAGATTAATAGTTTTTATTTTTTCTATAAAATTAAAATGATTTTAACCATCCACTCATTTAATGAAATGAAATTTAAAATTAATAACCTGGATTTACATAATAAATCATATTACCATTAGGTGATGTTTGGTTAATAAGAATTAAATGAAGAGAATGAAAATAAAAGTTTTATTTATTACTTATAGTCGTTGGGTTGACGATAAATTAAATGAAAATAAAAATAAAAATTAAACATGGTTTTTTTTAAAGTGAAATGTGGGAATAAAAATAAAAAATAAGATTTTTTTTTAAATAATGATATATTATTTTTATTTATTATGTATCAGCTATTTTCACTACCACCACAACCATTGTCGTCTTTATTAGCAGTCATGATAAAAAAATTATTGTTATTATTATTTCGTCTATCACTACCATCACTACTTTCATTGGCGAGTCATGAAAGTAATTCAATTCATTTCATTCAATATAAGAAATTGAAAGAGATGCAATTGATTCAATAATTTATGTACTTTTAATTATTCATAGTTCCTTTCAATTCTCTTATCAAGTTTAAAGCCTATAAATAGGTTTAATTGTTCATTAGTTTGTGTATAAGTTTTTAGAGAGATTAAGAGAATAATTTGAAGTTCTTATCATATGCATTCACTTTTATTTTATAATGAATTCTTTCTCTTATTATCTTTCTCTTTCATTAGTTTATAATGAATTTGTTTTCTTATTATCTATTATTGTTATCATTTCTTTTATAACATTTTTTATTAGTTAATTTTTATAAAACATTATATATTAATTGTAATTCTATTTTTTTTAATCCATTCTTATGGAAAAATATATTTTTTTAGAGTATTTCTCTTCAATTTTACTATTTTTACCATTTCTTTTATAACATTTTTTTATGAGTTAATTTTTATACAAGTTTATATATTAATTGTAACTCAATTTTTTTGAATCCATTCTTATGGAAAAATATATATATTGGAGTATTTTTTTAATTCTTGATTAATATTTCAGTTTAAATTATTATAATTTTTTATTTAAGAATCAATACATAAATAAAAATAAATTATGTTTTTTTAAATTACTACTAGTACTTGAACACCGACCTCACACAAAGAGCAACCATCTTCTTTTTATTTTTCATATTTAACTTTCAACTATTAAATAATTAATTTGAGTTTTTTTCAAAAAAATTGAGAAACAAATATTTGAAATACACCTTTAATCTAAAAGTATAGTTTAGACAAATTATAAATATTAATCATGTCATTATAATTTAAAAGTTATCTAAATCTATTTTTCAAAAGAAAAAATAGTCATGTTCTAAAAATTTATTCCAAAATCCATACATATAAAAAAATAAATAAAAAATATCAGTAAATATAATTTTAAATTAATTGCATGAAAATTTAAAAAAAAATGACAAATTAAAATAGTAAATTTTAAATAATAAAAATAATTAACCAAAAACACTAAAACAAAATGGGATCAAATCCCAATATAATCAAAGTTTGAAATTGAAAAAAAAAAGAGAGAATTTAAAAAAGTAAAAAATTAATGTAGTAAATTTTAAATAATATTAAAAAATTGAGATAAAATTATTTGAAAAATACTTTTATTCTAAAAATGTGTTTCAGACAAATTATGTATATTAATCATGCCATTATAATTTAAAAATGATCTAAATCTATTTTTCAAAAAAAATAATCACGATCTAATAATTTATTCAAAAATCCATACATACAGAAAAATAAATCAAAATTATCAGTAAATATAATTTTAAATTAATTAGATGAGAATTTTTTTAAAAAATAAAAAATTAAATTTTAAATAATTAAAATAATTAACAAAAAACACTAAAGCAAAATGGGATCAAATCACAATATAATCAAAGTTTGAAATAAAAAAACAAAAAAGAATTTAAAAAATGCTAAATTAATGTAGAAAATTTATAATAATATAAAAAACAGAGAAAAAATTATTTGAAATACACTTTTAATCTAAAAATATATTTCAAACAAATTATATATAATAATCATGTCACTATAATTTTAAATTTATCTAAATCTATTTTTCAAAAGAAAAAATAATCGTGTTCTAAAAATTTATTCCAAAATTCAGATATATAGAAAAATAAATCAAAACTTTCAGTAAATATAATTTTAAATTAATGGAATGAGAATTTTAAAAAAATGACAAGTTAAAGTAGTAAATTTTAAATAATAAAAATAATTAACAAAAAATACTAAAATAAAATGGGACCAGATTGCAAGTATAATTAAAGTTTGAAATTGAAAAAAAAGAATTTTTTTTTAAATTAAGGTAGTAAATTTTAAATAAAAAATAATTAATACAAAATACTAAAACAAAATGAGACCAAATCACAATATAATTAAAGTTTGAAATTGAAAAAAAAAAAAGCATAGAAAAATTAAGTACATAAGTGCAACAAAAATGATATGAATAGTGAAATGAATAGTGATTTGTGAGTGTGTGAATAATGTTTTAAATAGTGAAAATAAATAGTAAAACCATGTTTTACTTTATTTTTTTATATAATTTCAAACCTTATCGGCTAAACATTAAAACTTAGAAAAACATAAATAGATAAAAAAAAATAGCGTTGCAAAAAGTATCCCTAATTTGCATCCATTATACATTTGTGCACAAATATTGACAATATCCCTATTCTAAAGTATTTTTTTTCAACATAGGTATCTCGTGTCATCTCCCTTAATTTATGATTATTTCGCAAGATTGCGCTCCCATATGATGAACAAGTGTAGCATTTAATTAGGTGTGGCTTTTAAAACGTGCTTTAACGTCGTATGATTTGTCGAGGGACCTAAAATCGCATGCGGAAACCGAACCGAATTATCAAAGTAATGCTTCTTAAGGTGTGTGTGTGAGTGTAGGTGTGACTTTTTAAATGTACCTCAATGTCGTATGATTTGTTGAGGGGCTTGTAGGAAAACTTGAAACGATTTTGAAAAAGAATAGAATTACATAGTGCTTAATTACATAAAAAAATTCCTTATATTATCTTTTAAGTGATTATTGTCCTCACTATAATACTGCAGAGATTTTAACAATTTACATCTAGTATGCTATTTACGCACATAAGAAACTCGCAGGTAGCATTCTTGAAATTCCTTCAAGATAATATCTCTTAAAGTTGTAGAGTTTTAGAAGGAAAAGAATTTTGATAGGAGAGAAGGATTGCATAGAAAATAAATTGATTTTATCACGTACGGTAATCTCATATTTATAGATTATTAAGACTCTTTCATAACATATATGATCGTTGAAATTAACCGATTAACAAGTAAAATTCTAACAATCATAAGGTCAACTCGTTATGTTTGTTTGAAAACTATTAATAACTAACTAAGTATAATAAAAAATTAAAAATTTAATTAATTAAAATAATTATGAATTTAATTTATTAAGAAATAAAAATAAATTTCTTAATCACACACGCGTAAAATGCCAAGTGTTAGTATTTGATTATATATATATATATATATATATATATATATATATATATATATATATATATATATAATTCTAACCAATTAGCTTAGTTTTCCCTCCAATTCTTTTCAGCAAATATTTGAAAGTTTTACTAGAGATCCACTTTATAAGGCACCTCTTCTTTCCATTTCTTTCTAATGTGAGATAAAAATTTTACTTCAAAACACTTTCAAATTTTTTTCATAAGCACACTTAACTTATTATTTAACATACCCAAGATTTTTAATAAAATCTGAATGAGACAACCGAACCGAATTATCAAAATAATGTTTTATAAGGGGTGTGTGTGTGTGTCACAAATACAGTAAATGTGAAAAATGACGATGAGCTTTTTAAGTTTGGCCATGATGCTATGTTTTCTTTTTCTTTTTGAAGATCATATAATATATTTATATAATAAGAGGAAAGAACACTCATAGTGGCTATAGCCTATCTATCTGCGAGCGAAGATAATAGTACTAGCATGCAAAGCTAGATAAGAAAGAAAGAACTACAAAATACAAAGGATAGAATCATGAAAGTAAGAAAAAAAACCAAAAAAAAAAAAAAAAAGCAAAAACACGATCAAAGAAGTTATTTGTGTCTATTTTGCATAGCTTCGCACATATATATATTGTGCAAGATAAGAGATCAATTGTATTTATTCAAACTAAAAATTTATTACCGATAAACCTACTCGATCCTAATCATGACACATGTTTCCATATTTTATTTAAAAGTCATTCAATCAAGAAGTCACCCCAAACATAAAAATTTTGACTAGCTATCGAAGCCACCATGATTAAGCAAAACCAAACCAATTTGTACACATAAATGGCTTAAATAAAAAAAGAGACATTTCAATCCATTTGGTATTAAAAAATGATAGTCATTCAATAAAGATGCGACTTTTTAGGATGTTATTGTCATATTATCATCAACTATGATTGCACATGCACTAAAAAACAACAACTACCGCTTAAAAAAGTCTCAAACTCTCTTTTAAATGTAAGGAACTATTGAACACAAAAAGAAAGACTATTTTAACCCCGACTCATGCAAATGGATCACATTTTCTCCTATATAAATACTAGTAGGCTAAATATTATAGGTTTTCCCGTTTAAACTCAAAATAACTATATTATCAACTCTCTTATGTACAAGAGCTAATTTTTTACAACTTACTCGACTACTCAACTTTTTTTATAAGTTAACCTAGCCATTAGATGATCCTCCAACCGATGGAGAGAGACTTTTTTGTAGATAAATTAATATTCATCAAGCAATAACCATCGCTTGATCGCCTAGGTTGAAAGTCACCTCATCAACAATCATAACTCAAGGATCATCACCTCCTTAGTGGCATCATCCGTGGAGAATTGAGCAAGATGTCAATCCCTAACTCGTTTTTACTTCTCTATCAATAACTTTTCATCCATCCCGACAATTAAGAAACTCCAACTCACTTCATTTTTTTTGTTAGTCCAATATTTTACTAGTCAACGCATCAAAATCTTAACAAAGGCATAAATAACATCGTAAGAATAAATGAAGTCTCTAACTATACCCTTACTAAGGCTTTAAGTGTAGCAAGCACCTCCTTATGTAAGACCTCTGTAGACGTTTATACCGCCATAAGTTACACCATATATGAACCCTTTTTACAAAACAGACTAATCCGATACTCAAAAGAAGAAGAAACAACCAAGTAAAATAAGAGAAGGCCCAAATGGAAAGGAATGTTATTGTTTTCTAAAACCAAAAAGAAGTTACTCTCACCATTGTGGAAAAGAGCTAATTAGCTAGTGGCTTTTATAAAGACAATGAGAGAGATCAAATAATAAAATATCATTGGATTACTAAAATGAGGCATAACATTATCGAAAACCAACATAGAAGTTATTCCTTCTCTTTCCAAACCTCATGAATGAGCTTGGAATCTAAATGCAATCGAGCAAACAAAGACCTTTTATTATTATTCAAGCCGAGTTAAACTACTATGGCCATAAGAACCAGTGCTTGTCCACTTGCTATATACTCGCATGTTGAATGCTAGGCTTCCTAAAGGATTCTCAACTTGAAAGATGAATTTAGATATGTAGGATATCGCAACGGATCCACAAGAGCATATACAAAATGTTTAGGGAAACCTAGAGCTAGTCAAACCAAGCTAGGAACCCATGTAGAATATGTTTTCCATTATCTTCCGATGAGTGATGAGGAGGCGGTAAAACATCTTGAACCTTAAATTAGTCTTAAGTTTTGAGGACTTGTGCTCCAAACTAGTCACTCGTTTCTCCATTATTATTCATGGTAAAAAAATTTCTAGTGATCTATTCATAGTGTCCCAAAAAGAAAGAAAGAGTACATGAGCTTATATTTCTCTTGCTTCCATGAAAAGATGCTAAGAATTGATGGTTTTTTAAAACTTATCACAATTAAAGCCCTTATAGCACGAGTTAGCAAGGCTAATTTATGGAAGAAGATTTATGCACATTTTAACAAAAACCATCTATTAGGAAAAAAAAAGTGATAGAGTTATATTTGAGTGGAATAGATGATAGCCACCCAACAAGCACACTCTCGTTTTTAGAAACCAAGAAAAAAATGAAAAGACTAGCACTTTGCACGTGCACATATGTGATTAAGAAATTTATTTTTATTTCTCAATGTAATTAAATTCATAATTATTTTAATTATTATTTTTTTATTTTTTGTTATAGTTGGTTAGTTATTAATAGCTTTTCAAACAAACATAACAGTTGACCTTATAACTGTTAGAATCTAATAGTTATATCCGTTAGAATCTAATAGTTATATATGTTAGAATCTAACATTTATGAGTGTTAGATTGTGATCGTTATAATCTAACAATTATGTTTGTTAAAATCCAATAGTTATGATTGTTGGTTTGTGAATGTTAGATTGTGACCGTTAAAATCCAACAGCTTTTACTATCGAATTATGATCGTTAGAATTAACAATCACGTATGTTATGAAAATGTGTCAAAAATCTATAAATAGGGAACTATGACATGGGACAAAATCAATTATATTATCCGCAATGCTCCTCTCCTCTTAAAATTCTTTTCATTCTAAAACTCTACAAATTTAAGAGATATTCTCTTGAACGAATTTCAAGAGTACTCGCTTGTATTTCTTTGTATGCCTAAATTATATCATAGAGGTGAATTGTTAAAATCTCTATAGCATTATAGTAAGAGCAATAATCACCTTAAAAACAACGTGAGGTATTTTCTCGTACGCAATTAAGCATTAAGTAATTCTATTTTTCTTCAAGTTCATTTTAACTTTTTCAAACATCGTGTGTATCTCAATTCTCATGTGATTTTTCTACTAGTTTGGATAGAAAAAGAAAAAGAAGGGAAAAAAAAAAAAGGAGAACAATTCAAGAGCCCTTTTCCTCCCACGCTCGAACACTTGAATAATTCACTCGTGGCTACGTAGTGGATTGAAGTGATAAAAGGGAGTATGGGATTAAGCGTGTGTTTGGCATTGGGCTGATGATGTTAGAAAAACTCAAATAATATAAAAATGTTTTTCTGCACGATATTTGTTAGAGTTTTTTTTTTAAAAAAAAAACCCTGGTAAAATGCCACTATAAAAAGCTCCATAACAAACTGGGCTTTGCGTCTGTATGATCCAACAAAAGAAAGTTCTTTTCGTGTACCATTTGCAGTTTCCACGTATATTAAACTTCTTCCGTTCACGTGTTTTAAATAGACCACGACTTATGACAAGAATTTATTTTAGATATAATATATAAAATTATTTTAAAAAATTATTTTAATTTTAATAATTTATAAATAAAAAAATCTAAAATTTATAATTTCTTTTAGTGAAAATTTTGCATTGAATTATTTCCTCATGTTTTTCATAATTTTCTATTAATAACGGCTTTATTATTTTTTACCCATAAATTCTTGACTAAAAAAATTCAATACAAAATAAAAAAAAACACCTTAATATTTTATAAGTTTGTATAAAAAAATAAAATAATTATTAATATAAAAACTTGTATAGTAAACAAGTAAAAAAATTATGTTTGAATTCTATTTAATGTTTATGAGAATATCAATTTTTAAAAATAAACACATTTTATTTTTATATATTTATTTATAAAAATACTTAATATTAAAATAAAAAAATTATATTTAATCATTAGATTATCATATTAAAATATAATTTTAATTATTTACTTTGAAAGAGATTAATTTTTAAATATTTATAAATAAATAGTTATCATTTCAATTATTAACGTGTAGTGTGGTTGAAGTGAGAGAGTAGCATATTACTCCTAGCTAGCTTGTTTCCCTATAAAAAAGGCATACGAGCATGCAAATTTAAACACCAAGAGAGAGATACACAGAAAAAGAAGAGAGAATTGAGACAATGGTAGTTTCCACTAAATCAGCAGTCGTATTGCAGGGTCCACCGGTGTTAAAGCACATAGTTTTTGTACGGTTCAATGATGGGATCTCAGATGAACAAATTGAGAAATCCATAAAAGACTATGCCAATCTAGCCAGCGCAATCGAAGCTGTGAAGGGATTTGGCTGGTAACAGATACTTCTTTCAACTGATTTAATTTCTAGCTCCTCCTTTGAAACGTAACTAAGCACTGCTGGCTCTCATGTCTCTTCGTCATGGTTGTAATTAATTTCAAATGTCCTAACACTGACCTTTACCTTTTTTAATATTGTTTTGTGACAGGGGTAAACACAATCCTGTTCAGAAACTGAATCATGGTTACATTTATGTCTTTGAGATTTCATTTGAAAGTAAAGATGGCCTTCAGGAGTATCTTCAATCTCCTACTCTTGCTGAATTTCAGGACAAGTTTTTGCCTTTCTGTGCAAGCCGTATGATTATGGACTATTATCTCTTCTAAGTCTCTCCAAGGATAATGAACGTCTACTGCCCGGCAATTTTCATTTGTGAATGGAAATATGCGAAAGGAATAAAGTTCAACTCATGTTGAGTTATTGAATTTTTCTGTATTATTGGTCAAATTAAATTCAAGTGCTATCTATGCTGGAAACTTAAGTGTGATTCAGGTTTTAATATTGCTCCCCATAACTAAATAAATAAATATTATGATACTCGTTTTAGTTTTTTAATTCCATTTTCCATTTTGGTTCTTTCTTTCTTTTTTTTTTTTTGTCCCGAATGGTCAATTATACTGATAAGCACCTAGGTGACAAAAGCAGGTCGATAGGGCGAAAGGGATGCAAAGATATGAAAAGATAGAATATGACAAAAAATGGGTTAGTACCCAGTCAAAAGAAGAAAACAATACAAAACGCATGCCATAGCGTATAAAATTACTAACTCATTGGCAATCACTACCTGCTTCTCGGAATTATTTTTTTTCAAAAAAACGGCATTGCTATGCAAAGCTTCTTAAATTTTATAAGTTTCTTGTAACATAAAAACATAAACTATATATCTCTATAATTATTTTGACAGGTTATAATTATTTTGACAAGTTTTTTTTAAAAATAGATAAAAAAATACATGAATTAAATTTTTGGTAATCATATTAGCGCAAGTAGATTTTTTCATTCAAAATTTTGTTCGAACTTTATATAGCAAGGCAATTTAGATGACAAGCATGAATTAAAATCCAAGTAAGAATTATAATTGTCTATAAATTAAAATTATTTCCTCATTCGAATGACATATCGTCCAAATTATCCCAAAATACAAACACCAATCAAAACCAAAAAATCCTTAATCTTCTTCTCCCTTGAATCTTCAATCCATCCTCTCCCCATGGATCTTCAATGAAAAGTATGTCTCCGTGGAGAAGTCAAGTTACAATGATCAAGAAAGATTAGGTTTGTTCTTATAGAAGATAATATCATATTATTGACTTTGACAATCAAAATAATAATAATAATAAAATAATTATTGAGATTGTGATTTCATGGGGTTGTTGTCAACGATGTTGGGGTGGAGATCAAGTGATTCGGGCGATGGTGGAGGAATTGTGGGTTTAAGTGTGTATGGAGATCGACGTTAATAGGGTGATAATTGTCGAGGGTGACAGTAATAGTTCAAGGGGTGGATGGAACTTGACCATGAGTTTGACGACAACTTGAGTTCGATGATGGTGATGTGTTTTCGATGGTTGCTTTATGGGTTAATGCGTTTCGAGATTGATTAGGTGAAGAGTGGCTATTATGGGGATACCGAGTTTGTTTGGGGTTCGATGGTGTGGGGTTTGGAAAGCAAGTGGCTAGTGGCTAGTAAGGTTCTTGTTTTTTTTTTTGGGCTGGAGTTACAATAGCTTTGATGGGTTTTAGCAAGGTTGGGTTGGCAAGGAGGAACGTACTGTGAGGTGCAAGAGGTCAAGTAAGGTTGGCCGGCAACGTGAACAAGCAAGTGGCTCAAAAGAAAGAGGGGGATGTTGGCTGGTTGTTAGGGGTCGCCGAGGGGAAAATGAACTCGTTGCGAAGACATATTAATTTTGTTGTTCAAAGGTTATGAGTTTCACTTTCTTGTCTAGATTCTCATAAGGATATATGAAGATTCCACACGAGTAATGATTTGTATTGTTTAAGGTTTATTTCTCTTTTCTAGCAAGTACTATAATGCATTTTTCTACCGTAATATCCGATAATTATCTCTCCGTGTTTGTTGATCCTTGATGAGTTTTATTGAGATGGTTCTATGCTTCTATCTTCTTCCTCACAACTCGATAATTTGTATTGTATGAGGTTTATTTCATGGGTTTGAATCTATAACTATCATGGATTTTGAATTTTTACATTTTTAGTGTGTAATTGTGTATTCTATAAATAATCATAATTTCAATAATAATAATATTAACAAGCACTTCTTCTTCATATGATTTTGTTGAATATTTCACACAATTTTATCAATTTTATAGCAAAAGAAGGTAGCCAACATGTCAACTCGAACAACCTCAATTTTAATTATTTTGTTACGTGTCATCTCATGTGGATCGTTATCCATGATGACATTCTATATGTCATGTCACATCATATGAATTCAGAATGTTAAATTAAAAATATCTCTCATGCTAAAATGGTTACCATAAACCTAGTTCATATATTTTTCATTTAAAAAAAAACATGACAAAATCATTAAAATATACATAGTTTATGGTACAATAAACCAATTTTATATTAATAGAAGTTATTTTTTTCCCCGTAGATATTGATGTCTCGAAAACTAGAGAATAAACTTCTTACACATTCAAGCATTCCGATCAAATGGTTTTAACTCCAAGTCAAGGCGCGTCGTGAATAATATTGATAACTAATCACGTTCAAGCTATGAATTTACAAATGCGACCCTATGAAAGGAACAAAAACCTAGCCCGGAAACCAAACAAACGAGACTCCATGGAAGTCTAGATGCATGATATCGTTGCAAAAAGTAGGACACTTATACACGACTTAGGCTTGATCTAGTTATAGTATTCCTTTAACCTATTTTAGTGGAATAGTTTCAAAAAAAAAAATAGTTATGATGTGATGTACTCGGAAACACTATTTCAACCGCATGAAACGACATCCTTTAGATTTCTCAACGAAAAAATATGTTGAACACTTATTAATGGATGAGATCTTGCCATTTCAAATTCTCTTTTTGAAAAAAAAAATCCTTCAACTAATTTAAATGTAAAATCGATTGATTGTGATTAACATAAATCATCTTTAATGTTCTTAAAATTTAAATATTTCGTATTGGAATTAAAAGGTCATCCGCTTGCTAGATTGTTACAAGCAAAAGATCTAAAATTTGAAGAGACTACCGTAATGTTCCCGAAGGTGTACATCTCGCTCAAAGGTTTCAAATCCTATAGAACATAACGTGAGTAGTGATTTTCTAACGAATTCCGTCATTCTTGCATTTATCACCTATTTCGAATCACATCATAAATGAAAAAATTATAAATTACTCCTTTTGTTTTTAAGAAACGAATTATTGAGTTTTTTTTTAAAAAAATTAATTGCTTAGTGTTTTATGGATGTTAATTACCCTTAATTTTATATTATATTATTTTAATTTTTTTATTCTCATTAATTTTTTCATAACATTTATTTATTTATTTTTCCTTTTTAATAGAAAAACAATAAATATAAAAAATATAAAATAGATAAAAAACTAATTTATTAATTTTTAAAATAGAAATAACTAATTAATTTGTTTCTCGAAACTGTACGTAATAATGTATAATTTATTCCTACACAAAATTGCACTTAGTTTTGGTTTATTAAAAGCTTATCTAAAAATATTTCTTAATTAATTTTTAAAAAAAGGGAGAAAAGAACGATTGAAATTAACTCCGCAGCTCCTCGGACTTAATTCGGAGCTTCTTCGAACTAACTCAATCACTCCATCTCGGTGAAGCAATGGAGAGATAAGTGCCTTTCGCCTAACTTCCTCCAATTTCTTTTAGCACAAAAAAAATGAAAACGAAGGAGGAGAAAGGGGAGGAGGAGGCGGCGGAAGGAAGAGCCGAGGCCTCGAGGCATCGGGGTGCAAAGATTATATTTTATTTTTGTTACTTTTCTATTTACAAAAAGACCATGAATGGTTCTCAAATTTGTCAACTCTTGTACCTTGTTGGAAAGAATGGTGGGCTTCATTAAAGATGTTTAAATAACTAGTTATCAACAACATTAGTCCAAACTTCTCTTCATATTTCTTAAAAATTTCTTGAAATAACTAAAAATGTTATGTAATAATATTTATGAGTTTTTAGATGTTTAAAGTAGTGCTAATATGATTTTTTTTTAATAATGAATAGGCATGTCTTAAAGTCATTTTCAGCTAGAAATTAAATTATTTGATAAGATTTTATTTTATTTTTAATATATTATTTAAACTGAGAGCATTTTCAACTAAAAATTAAACTTGCTCAAATCCACTATTAGTTGAGACTCATTTAATTTTAATCATAACAAATATCAAAAAGGGTAAAATTTTGAACTTCTAATCACTTGACAAAAGAAGCTTCAAATTCTTTTTCTCGTTATAAAATAAATAAAAATAATATGAGAATTTAAGAAAAGGATGACAAGAAAATGAAATCACTATAATGTGAATATAAGTGATAAGAACTTCAAAGTTTCTCTTATTCTCTCTAGGAAACTTGTACACCAACTAATAAACAATCAAGCCTATTTATAGACTTCAATATTGAGGAGAGAATTGGAAGAGACTATGAATAATCAATTGCATCACCCTTTCAATTTCTCATATTGAATGATGAATTGAATCATATTAAGAATCATGAGTAGTTGGGATATGAAAAGTGGATGAACATGATGATGGACATTCATTATTTCTTAACACTCCCCTCGAATGTCCATTGTATAAGGAACATGTCTCGTTAAAACCTTACTAGGAAAAAGCCGAGTGGGAAAAAAATCCTAATAAAGGAAAAATAGTACAATATTCCTTTCACACATTAATCTTCATTTTGGTCTCCCCTTGTTGAAGGCATTATTTAAGATCTTTAAGACGACGCATTCCAATCTTGCGAATCATCTTCTCAACAGCTTATGATAAGTAATGCTTTAGCGAATAAATCTACCTGGATTGTCATTTTGATGTATTCTTCAATGAAATTATGCAAGCAGCATTATCCTCATATGATATTGTTGGAACTTTTTTTGTTGGTAGATAAACTCGTATGATTTGAAGATGGATTATTGATCTTAGTCAAACACACTCTCGACTTGTTTCGTGGATTGATATTTCTACATGATTTGAAGATGTGGAAGCTATAGTTTGTTTTATAGAATATAAAGATATAGCTGGATCCCTATATGTAAATATATAACCGATTATGATCGAGCTTTGTGTGGATTAGATAAATAATCCGCATCCGCATAACCAATTAATCTTATCTTTGATTTATTAGAGTAATATAAGTCCATATCAATTATTCATCGAAGATAACGTAGTATCTATTTAACTTTATTTCAATGTCTCTATATTGAAACGAAGTATGACTTGTTAATAAATTTATAGAAAAGACTATATCGGGTCGAGTATTATTAGTAAGATATATCAATGCATCGGTGGCACTAAAATATGATACTTCAAGACCAAATAATTCTTTGTTATCTTCTCGAGATCGAAAATGGTCTTTTTGGATATCAAGTGAATGAACTACCATTGGGCTAGTCAATGAATGATCTTTATATAGAATCATTGTAGAACCTTTTTCGATATAAATTTACCGATGAATAAAAATCTCATTCTCTAAGTGATCGAACTGTAAGTCGAGATAACATTTTGTTTTCCTAAGATATTCACATCAAATTCTCTTTTTAAGTAACTTATGACACTTGGAATCTCTTCGGGAGTTCCAATAATATTTAAGTTATCAACATATACAACAAAACCCTTTTCAAATAAAAACATAGGAACAAATAGGGTTATTTTTTACAACTTTCTTTCAATAAATAATCATTGAAGTGATTATATCACATGCACATGGGTTAGTAATAAAAAGTAGATATAAAAATAAAATATAAAAAGTATAATATAAATTGAATTTCTAAAAACTAAAATAATAAAACAAATACTAAAATAATCCTAATAGAGATCTCTATAATTTAATTGAATTCTTATCTCGAGAATATGTATTACATGCTTCTAGCATATTAAATCCTTCTAGGACTTTCATACCGATATCATTTCAAATGAATAAATAAATTATGATCACATTCATTAAATACATGCATGTTAATATTTTTCATATATTTTGCCAAGCTAATGAGATAATAAAATATAATTGCATCCATTATAGGAGAATATGTCTCCTCATAGTCAATGTCGGTTCTTTGCAAAAACTCTTATGTTGAAAGTTTTGCTTTGTATCTTACAATCTCATCTTTCTTATTTCGTATTCGCAAAAATACTTATTTGTATCCCACTAGCTTAACATCTTCGGGTGTTTTAGCTAGGGGTTCAAAAAACTACTCTTTTGTAGGAGAACATAATTATGCATGGATTGCTCTTTTTATTTAGGCCAATCATTTTATGTCGACATTCTTCAATAATTTAGGCTCGGGATCCTTATTTTCATCCATAATATCAATTGCAATATTATATGCAAAAATCTTATCAATAGATGTTTCTTTTCGCTCCTATTTTCTCCTCGCATTGATATAATTTATCAAAATCTTTTGATTTTTCTCAAGTATTTGGACTTCTTCTGGAAGCCTATTATCAAAAATATATTGGACCGTTTCACAAATATT